TTCCCTTCCGCTCGAAATCGATCGATCGAGAAAAACATGGCGGACAATCATTCGCAAGATTAACCTTCGTCCAATCGAAGCCGATTTTACTCGATGTAAAAATTTCTTTGCTTTGGAAAGATCGAATTGTATCGTGATTCGTTGGTCATCGAATTTTTTTTATATACACAGTTAAAAAATTGTTAATTTCGTTCGTGCGTGAAAAATCGTGATCTTTATTTTTTTCCTTCGCAATTCTGACTATTTCTGAAACTTATTTAAAAAGAAAAAATTTTTACATCAATCCGTAAACGTTTCTATAAAAATTCCAATTTTTAAAAAGTTATTCCGTTTAAAATGTTGAAAATTTATAATGTTCACGTAAAAGGAAAAAGTAGAATTTTTCTAGAATCCAGAAAATACTTTCGATTCTCTTAACTCGACGTCGTGGAATCTGAAAAACTTTCATACATTTGACTTTTTTACAACAATTTTTATGATCCATGGAAATTCACATATTCCTTTCCAGAAATGAGTATAACTTAATTTGCATATAGGTGATAATCTTAAATAAATTAAATACACAAGATTGAAGAATAAATAAAAGAGAGACATTCTCGATGCTTAATCTCTAAAATTCCACGGCAATCCAAAACAAAACGATTTTTATATCGTTGAAAAATAATTCTTTCAATTTTAATCTCCATTGTTATTTAATTAATATTCCATCCTCCCCGTTTCACTTTTCGTTACAAAGAAAATCGTTATTACAATTCGACTTCATTAACAATTATCCTGTATCTTGTTGTTTCCGATACATTTGTTTACCGATCTTGTGTATACGTGTTCAATGCATGCAATGTATACAGATGGGCACGCTTTCCAAGATCGAATGGTATTATCAGCGTCGATAAATTACAAGCAAATCCGTAACTGGAAATTTATTCACGGTCCATCATTTAAATATGCACGGTAATCACACGCGCGCACACCTTGGCTAACCTTTGACCTATCGTTAGATGTGAACGGAACAGCCTCAAACACCCACGCGAAATGCATTGATCCACCGTTCCGTTTCCAAGTTTCGGGGATGCTAATGAACAGACGAATCTCGATAAAATCGGCATTTCTTCCATCGTTAAAAAAAGAATATATAAATCTAGAATTATAGACTAAGCATAAAAATGCAAAATTTGTGAGTCTGTAAGATTTTGTCCAAAAAGAAAAAAAAATGTATTATCAATAATTTTTCTTCTTTATTGAAAATTGTGAATTAATACAATTTTCGTATTCCCATATCGAATGATATATATATCTTTATATTACGTTATGTTAGTGAATCATAGGTCTAATTATAGATAAAAAGGTAGAACAATAAATCAATAATAATAACAAGTTACTTCACACTAAATTTAAGTTGACACAATATGTAAATTAATATTAACGTTTTTCACAAGTTATATAACAATCGTCTTAGAATCGTAAATAGAAATTGTCGTGTTAAAGAAAAATGATAAGATAAAACGCGGATTGCTTGAAATGAGTCACGCAAAAAAAAAAAAAAAGAAAAAAAAAAATTGTTTACAAAAATAAAATATAAATTTGTTAAGTAATTGAATATTTTTAAAATGTGAAGAATGATAAAGATTTTTTAAAAAAAAATATTATTTGCTGTATAAATAATTAATAAAATTTAAATAAATAAAATTTGCATCCTCGTTAAAATATTTTATCGTAACAAAGAACAAAAAATTTATCAGTTTATTTATAGTTAAATGTACGAAGTAAGTAATAATGGATGTAATATTATTATAATATACGAAAAAAATATTCTTTTTTTAAATAAAAGTTAAATTTAGTAAAATATGATTTAACTAAATATATATCATCATCATCATCATCATCATCATCATCCACACTGAAATCCAATTCTTGTAAGCACTCATCTATCGTTTCTTTTGCTTTAAACGCAAGCTTCGTTATTCCGGTTTTTAATCAGGAATATTTAAATGGGGAGAAACGTTTCTCAAACAATGAAATAAATCAAAAGTAAATTATTATCATAATGCGTTTAATTAATGCATCTTCGTTTCAGAAAAATTTGAATTTTTATAAAATTATGCATAATGTCAATAATATCTGTGTTACAAGAGGCATAATATTTATTACACTAATATAACAATATTTCACGCAGTAAAATTCAACGAGTTCAATATTTTACTCGGAAGAGAGAATTAATTGATGAGAATTTTCTATTCTCTATACAAAAATGTACTAATGCGTTCGTGTTGAAAATCGATTAGTTTAAAATATATTTTGGTAATTATTTTAAACTACTTTAACATTTTTTTTATTAATAAAAATTTTTCCGTATCCATGAAATGCGAAAATAAAATATAAACCAATCCTTAGACGATGTTGTAACAATATATTTTAATATGATATTATTATGTTATTATTGTAATTTTGTATTAAATTTGCTCATAATTTCAATCGTAATTGCTTTAAGTTTTATGATTATTTTCTGCGTTCCACGAATCCAAAAAATAATAAAAAATTTACAAAAATCTATATTAACAAGAGATAATGCTTGCGCATACATTATATATGAAGGCGTGTATATAAACGAAATTTATTTTCATTTTTAAAATGAGAAAAAATACATTGCTTCTTCTTCAATTGATTTTTACTGAAGATATTAAAAAAAAAAAAAAAAATTGAAAAAAATGATAAAAATAAGAAAGATAAAGATAATAAAAATTGAGAAATGAATTACTGATAAACTAACATAATTATCGATATTTTAATTTTAAATTTTGCAAGATTTAACTTAACAAAAGACGAAATCTCATGTTTTTCGTATAGAATAGATAATTAAAATTAAAATATCCTTCAATCCGATTGATTTCTCATCTGAGATCTTAATTTTCTTAATTTTCTATTCATTAAAAACCACGATTAAATCTAACGAAATCATCTGTATAATATTATATTAATTTATTTTAATTTATTTAAAATTAATTATTATAGAAACATCTATACTAATACGTTTTAATTGCATATATCAGTTCTATCGCCTTCTTTGATCCTTCAATCTTTCATGTACTGATCGTATGATAAGACATCATACACTTTTCAATGTTTTCTTGATTTAATTGATTTAAATTGCATAGTAAAAAAAAAAAAAAAAAAAGAAAAAGAATCAACCACGATTAAAATTCATTAAAAATTTTTCTCCCGTACATTTCATTCATGTTTATGAGGGGGGAAAAAATGATGCGACAAAAATAAATAGTACACGCATGACAAAATAGAGATTTTTTGTTTTTTGAAAATCCAATAGTTTTTTTTATTATATATATATATATATATATTATCCCGTGCTGAATCTGAATCCGGCCGTAAAAATGGTTTATCATGTTCGATTTAAGAGATAAAAAATATTCGAATTTTATTATATTTACGAGAATATTTCGAAGGAATCAATTTTTTTTTTTTCAACTGAATTTTATTATCAAATCAAATTTAATTTTTCTCGATGTGTATATCGCATACAAGTAAAATATTATCGAAAAGTATTTTGATGTTCGAAGAGGCGTAAGCGCATATAATATTCTATCAATCTTCTAAAAAAAAGAAAAATAAAAAATGGACTGTCTTTTCGCGATCGATAAGTTTGAATGGATTAACAGCTTAAACAACGATAAACTCGACGATAATATCTTGATGAAAAGAATATAAATGCAGTAAGAATCGATATCTTTTACGCATTTATAACTCAATCTAATGCGAATTTTTCAAAAAGTACACGATCTTTTCAATTTTCTTTCGTGTGTTTTTCCTTTTTTCTTTTTTTTTTTTTTTCTTTTCATTTTATCCAAATAGCATGGAAAAAACTTGTGCAACACTTGTATCAATAGAAATATCATCAGGTTAAATATAAATTATTTCTGGTGGGGTAACGCTGCATTGAACAGGTGCGCTATCTTACGTTAATGCAATGCAATAGATGCTGCATTGTGTGCCGACACCGATATCCGGCCATGCAATCTAGTCACGCAATCTAGTCATGCAATCTGGCTATGCTGCTTGACCAACTCGATGGTGTCAATCGCAAATACATACGTACAAACATCACAGAGATAATCTATGAAACAATACAGATTGAAATCTTTCATCCACGTTTCGATTTTAATTTTACGAAAAATTATTCATTCAATCGATCTCCCTTCTTTTATTAAATAATTTACCTGTGTGTACTTCCGTCTAGGCTCAATTTATTTTGAGAACGCACAAGGAAAACAATCTCAAGATTTATCATTAATTCAACATATCATTGAATAGTCACGATTATGTTTGATCGTATAATAAGTAATAATAAATATACTTACTGAGAAAAGTTAAGACTAATAATCGTTTGCAAATTTATTTCAAATAGATTTCATCGGATTAAAACTAAAGCTGGCATAGAAAAATCAGTTATATATGGATAAATTTTCTCGAATATGCTTGTATAAAGTTAAAGAGATAAAAAAAAAAAAAATAGTAAAACGAAAAATATTGTTGTTCTTCCTATTTGATAAAATTAGAGCTGTCTGATTTAAAATTTAAAAATTCAAATTTTTTTGCGAGAAAAATATAATTAAATCGAAGATGAGATTGAGAGGGAATTAAGAATACTTGTATTGAAGTGGGTATAGGTATTGAAAAGTGAACCAACACTCGATTATATACCGTTTAGAGATAAAATGAAAAGACATGTAAGAGATGAAAATAGAGAAAAAGAGAGAAAAGAAATATTTATTACCAAAGAAAGTGAGAATATGAGAATTCGCGTGGAAAGTTTGAATTTAACAATATAAATTGACAATATAAATAATGAAATCTAATATACTTTATTAGTTATTTTATGTATTAATTTTCCAATATAAAAATTTACATTTGCTTCAAATATTAACTTTTATTGGATAACTAATATTAACTAATGTTAAATTATGCATAAAATTATACTTCTCTTTTTTTTTAATACATGTTATTAATTATTATTAATTGTATATGACATGTAAGATTTAACTATAATCATAAACGTTGTATTAATTTAAACATGTAATAAACATAATTAGTTCATTTTTAAATTAATTATCGATGTAATTAAAAACACAATTGCTCACGATGTTACTATTAAGTAACATTTTATGTATTTCTTTACATCTTAAAGATCTAATTGCTGATCCAATTCCCCATCTTCCAAAACGTACCTAAAATAATTAAAATATTTCCAATATTCCATATGATATATAAAACATTGAAAGACAAATACATTCTATTAGTTTCTCATTCTTTTTCTCTTTCGTCTCCTTTAAACCTCCATGAATTGTAACAAATGAATTTTCCACCATTTTCCTGTTTCCCCGGACTCATTCAATTTTTTCACCGATAATGAATATTGAAAAAAATAATATTGAAACATTATAAGAGAAATATATATCGAGCGTATCAAATAATATCGAATTAATTAAACTTCTTCGACTAAATGATAATGGAAGAAAAGAAAATCGCAGAACCGGTCGAATCGAAGCATGAATTAAAGCATGATTTTTTACGAGAAAAAGAAATTTTCCAATTATCCTCGATATATTTGTGCAAGGCAGCCCGTTTCAGACGAATTCTGTGGACAATTCTCGTTCAAATATCCATCTGAATTTGACGACAGTACGCGCGATTTCTCAATAAAAACATAGAGCGTCGAAGACACCAACACCCGAGGCGTCGAATCTCATTGGTCAACCTTCCATTTCGCTAATTGGCTGCCTCCCTGAATTCATATTCACGCGAAATTCTCTGGAAAAGAAAAAAGAAAGAAGAAGAAGAAAAAAACTCTTCCATATAAAAAAAAAACATAAACTTTTCACTCAATTTCGGCTCGATCGGCTTTACGGTTCTGCCCTCTACTCATCCGGTGCATCCGGTGTAACTAAAACGTGTATCGTTCGAACGGAACTGGCCTCGAAAATCCGCCGTTCGAGTTTCACGTTGTTTCGAACATTGGCCAAATCGACCGATCTTTTCATCCTGAAAGAAAGCTCGTGGCTAAAAAACGACGAGTTTATCGTGTAATAATTTTTACGATTCATTCTTTTTACGTGGGAAAAAGTATATATACCCATGTTTTTTCCATTCGCATTTGCATCGTTTACGACACACGAAATGTTTTAAGGTCGTTTAATTTAACGAGCTTAACCGTTTCGCACGACACAAAAATGGCGAGCATCGAGTGTGTTCATATAACGCTATAGTCATCCGCTCAACAACGCAACATCAGAGCAATAACGTTCAGCACCGGTTGCGTAAAAGTCTGAAATTGATTAACGTTATTAAATGGCGGTGATCTTTACCTCGAGTCTCGTAACAGGCGGTTGAAAGAAGAAAATCGTACTTGGTTATCGCACTCCTCGAAATAATGCCACGCTGTAAAATATCATCGGTATTTTCATTTGTAATTGTCGTTCCTAATGTTTTGAAAAATTCATTTTCACCTCTTCTCCAACAATCCACGCTCTCTAAAGTCTAAAATTACACTCCTTTGTTCGTGTCGCCACCAAACGGTCGTTTATACATTTAATGTATTGTTAATGATAGTTCTCCCAAGTATAGTGATATTGCTTGATCATTTTTGTATGTGTTTATATATTTTATATATAACTGATTATTTTTCAAAAACATTTCTGTGAATAAAAATTATTGAAAAAGTAGAAAATGATTATATATCATTTTCAAAAAAGTGTTTTCCAGGAGTAAAAACTGCATTTGAATAAAAAAACTTTGGAAACTCGTTAGAAATTTGAACGAATATTTTCGGACACGGTTTCGATTCTCTATTTCCATTTCCAGTTGAATCCCAATTTCAAAATTATCATACGATATATCATGCAATTGCTAGTGCTAATGCTGCTGCATTATATATTTCAATTTATTCTCTAAATTTGTAAGAATATTATTTGAAGCCTTATCAAAAAATAAAACATTAATTATCGGACTTGAAATTGCATTATTAATCATACACACTTATCTTGTTTTGTTATACAAAACAAGTTCAAGCTACCATCTCTTCTCGCGAAATTGTCAATGAAATTTCTTCTTTTTTAAATAATGAAATTGCTAAATTTAAATTGCACTCAAATTTTGTTGATCACGAAAAATATAGAAGAGATACCTATGATATAAAATTATATAAAAATAAATATTATGCGCCTTTTGATTTTTTTTTTCTAAATAAAAACAAATCAACATTATTATAAAAATACTTAAAAATTATTTTTAATTAAGCGAGATACATAAAGATTTTATAATAAAGTTGTGACTCTTTATTTGTGTAATTAAACGAAAAATTTTTTGCTCACAGCTTTTTGGAATAAATGGAATAAATCGTATGTATGTAAATTACATATCCTATGAGAATAATAAACACATTATCACGTCAGATGGACGAACGAAAAAACGAATTGAAATACGAAGTTTCGAAACTTCTATTAATAAGTGGAGAGACCAGAGCGAATTCAGTTATTCCCTTATCATTCCGATCGGACGTTTAAGAGACAAGCGGGCAATAACAACTAACTATCTTGATTATCGAAAAGTTGCGATATGCAGACACGCAACGGCACACTGATTTAATTAAATTTCACGCTTTATCCAATTTCGGCTTGTGCGATGATTGACGTTGATGGATTTGTATAAATGCTTGTTTGAAAAATGATAAAATTATTCTTACTGTATAATTGGAAATTTCATGAAAGAAAAGTATTTTGGAATTTGTAAGAAAGATTCTATGGAACTGTTTTTTTTTTTTTTTATGCAATTTTGTAATAAAAACTTTTTGGCATAGATATAAATTTACAGTATTTTAAGTGATGAATGATAATTATTTTTCATATTTAAATTAATTAATATTAATTAAATATAAACTCTCAACAAGTTAATACATGATTTATTAAATTCATTTCCATAACGAATCATTTGTTTAACAAGTAGAATTATATATATATATATATTATTTATTTTAATTTTTTAATTTTCGAAGAAGTATCAAATTATGATTAAAAAAAAAATTGCTTTGTTAAACTATTAAAAAATATACTGAGAATATACTATAAATTGGATTATAAAAATAGACGTCACATTGCGCTAGAACTGACATTGTTCTTTTCAAAAATCCAATTTTACAATCTGTGAACACGATGATATTATTACAATTATATTAATTATTATTAATTTTTTTAACTCACGTTAAAAAAAAGAAACGTAATGATAATGAATTGATATGTAAATGCTTATATAAAAGATTTAAAAAAAAATCATTATCATCAAAATAATCAGAGAAAAATAAAATTTAATTCTACATTTCTTTTCGTTTGAACTTTCTTCTTTATCTTTATATAATTAAAATAAACATTATTATTATTATTATTCAAGTTGTAACAACTCGTTATTATCGAGTGGTTAACTGAAAAAAAAAAAAAAAACAATATCAAATTTTATACGTGGTGATAATTCACAAAAATATACTTATTCGTGTAACTCTTTTATTTAAAATTTACAAATATACAAATAAATCATTATTATCAAGAAATTCTATATTTATTGCGTAGATTATTTGTGGTATACACATCGCAATGAATGATTCATGTCTCAAAGATCAAACAAGCAAGCAAGATATTCAAATTATCCTCTTGTGCCAAATGTAAGAAATTCAAATGAAAGATACTGCCTGAATAATAATGTGCGTGTACACTTAAATGAATAATATAAAAGTTAAGTCATGGAAAACTTCTGTTTTCCACGGCTCGTTAATTTATCGTCCTTAAGAACTCGTAGCGTTGCATAACGTTTTTATATACTCGGTGATTTGGAAATTGTGTTCGTATTTACAAATCATCGTGCAAATATCGGGAAAAATGGAATATATTATTAATAAACGATGATTCGCGATTTGTTTAACACGTGAATACGAAACCGAGTTAATCCTTCGATTTCGATTAAAACAGCAAACTTTCTGAACGATACAATTGTCATTTTATAATTAATTTTGGCCTCGATAATGATCGTGTAATGACAAATGTTCCGATCATTATCGAAAAATTGCATCGAATAAACAAAGATATCAGACTTTAAAAGGAAATATTCTGATCTTTATCGAACGTTTGTGCAGCAATTTTTTCAAGGAAAATAAAAAAGAAAATCTTTTTGAAGGAGCGAAATCAATCTCTGAAAGTCTTATCACTTTTTTCAATTTCATCTGGGAATATTTTTCGGAATAGCTAGTGATGGAGTATTAAAAATTGGACATTTTTATAATTTAAAATTTTGCTTTATCGGCAAAAGTTGTATTTTAAACGAAGGAAAAACTTGATTGAAACTTTGAACGTTGATTTGAAATGTGATGAAAATGACATTGCTTTGACAAGGAATTATCACATGCTTATTAAAAAATAAAAAAAAAAAGGTTTTAAATAAAGATTAAATTTTTGTAATTCGACGAATATTTCTTCGTGAATAATTCTGCCCCTAATTTTTTTCAAAGTAAAAATTTCTCAAATTATCATAATAAATAACTTATTATGCGAAAGAAATGCATAATAAAATATATCGTCGGAAGAGAGAGAGAAAAAAAAAATTGCTAAATCCTGACAGATATGAAATTTAAATCAATCCATTTTATTTCCACGAGTAGGAATTTTCCTTCCACAGAAGATACAGATATTGGTATTGTGCGATTCTGAAAGTAGAGATAAACTAAGGATCAGCTAAAGATGAACCATATCTTCAAAATCGTCTTAAGATAAAAATGTTTTGAAACTAGTAGTAAAAGATTGTCATCGTTAATAAATAAAATGAATAAAAAATTTTGAACAAATCATATTACTTTGTAACATCGAGATGTTTTTTTTTAAATAATCCCTTCTTTTATAATTATAATTATCATATTATATTTAAAAAAATTTATTATCATCTTTAGAATATTCTAAACTCTTAACTCTTGCACAAAAGAAACACTTTTCATTAGAAAAAACTGCTAATTTGAAACTGCTTTCTACATAAAGAATATGTAGAATACATGCTATACAAAAATTTATTTTTGAAATTATAACAAGGAATGACCGGTATATCTTATTTTCCCTGCAGACAAAATTAATCGTATTCCTTTGATCTCACAATGATCTTCGTAACCTGTGGAAAGATTAAGATTCTTTGATGGAAATATAATTAACACATTGAAATGTTCACTGTATAATACGTTCTCTATACATTTCTTCCTATTCTCAAAGAAGATCACGAATGGAAAAAGAGATGAAAAATATTTCACGATACTTTATTGATCCTAGCCAAATTCTTGAATCGATAAAACTATTATTATACGTTTCTCACGTGTGTCGAGGACGCAAGGATCGTGGACCCGCTTTTGTGTGCCTTCCTTTTTTTTTTTCTTTTGTTTTTTTTTTTTTTTTTTTTTCGTTTTCCTCGGCCACGAGAAATCGGGCCTCCATTGTTCGTTCTCCGGTGATCCCGTTTTTCGGTAATGCTGGTTTTGCGACGCAGTCGTCATGGCCCGAAGCCAACGCGTAAACAGACGAGGCATTGCGTTTTGTGCTGTTCCACAGAGAGGATCGATCCACCGTTCGGATCTATCCAACGATGAAACTTCGATCCCTGTTGTCATCGTAGATCCATCGTCGATCCCAAGCAGTCGAAATTCGAATACCATTTTCTTCGATGCGTGAATTGTGGGCGGATGTACGATTGAAGTTAGATAAGATAAATATATATATATATATATGATATTAGAATAGTTTTTTTCTTTAATTTTGAAAGTTAGAGGGAAAAATTTTCGAGTACAATTGGCTATTTTCGTAGGATTGGATAAAAATAATTATCGATGGAAAGAATAATTCTGGAAATGTATAAAAAATAGAGTTTCTTTTGTTCAAAAGTTCGTTTTCGAGAAATTTCAAGAAAAATTGAATTTGAAAATTCGACAGTCAAGTGTTGTAATTCTTGAGTTGTGAGTATTTAATTTCTCGAAAAAAGGAAAGGAGTAAAATTTCTGCTCGTTTTCACATTTGAAAGATTTTTAAACTGGATTTTCTTGAAAACGAAGCGTCGAATGAGAAAGAAATGTTATTTTTTTTCTTTTAACTTCATCTAATCGAATAGATAAAGCATTTATAAATTGCTGATATAACTTTCCTCTTCTACTACGTTTATTTCTATTTCTTCGTGACTTACACAAGTCAGAAACAACTTAATCTCCTCGACTTAATACCAGAATTAATGACTTAACTTTCCAGTCAAAAAAAATTGTCAAGCCGATTTATTATAATAATTCAAGATCGTTTGCAATACGTACGCAATATGTTTTAACAGAAATTTTACGTCAATGATGTAGAGTCGAATTATTATAACTATAAATCAAATCCACATTTTAGCATAACAATTTGTAATTAATGATGAGGATCGAGTCGAATGTCATGTAACTAATATATACAAGTTTTAACGAGAATTGAACGACAAATGATACTAGGCAAACAAAGAACAGCTAATAAAAACTGATAAAGTTAAAAATTTTCTTTTTAAATTTACAAAATTTCGAATCCTAGTTTTCTTAAAAATCCTTGGTTTAATCTGTCAGAAAGAGATGCTCGACACGTTTAATTAATCGTAACGAAAGCCGAGACATCTTGAAACAAGTTCAACTGGGCCAACCGTTAATACATGTCGATCCGCAAGGAATCGCTAATATCGACCTACGGCTCCGGTATGCCATTTGCGGTATCCAAATGCAATATACCAGAGAGCATCTGTCGCGTGCACGTGTCGTATCTCTCGCTCTCTTGTGTATCTATTGGCCAGTTTGCGGTTGGAAGAGATCGAAACTATCGTAATTACTCGCGTCTGTCATTCTTCGTTACCTTCATTATTTTTACAAGTATTTGCACACTAGAGAATTTTATTGCAGTCGTTCATACGAATGTATCCAATGTATCGTGTGCACTCATTTTAAAACAAAATATCAATCTTATATCTCCTTTCTAGAATACACAGGACATATTCTAAGCGAAGAAGTTAAGTAGATTCTTGAAATTTCTTCTGGGATTATGAAAAGAAAGAGATTGGAAAAATTGTTATCCCTTTCTCACGCTTTTGTGCAATATAAATTCGTTTAAAATTATATTTCTTACAGCAGATTAATAGAATATTGAATTTGTAATTGTACAATTTAAAATTCTGCTTTATGTCGCGCCATTACCACCGAACTTATATTTTAAAAAAGCGTATTTTCCATACACGTCAAACAAGAGCTTTCAGCTTAAAGTAGTAACCTCTCCCTAGTAACTTACGAAGTTACTATGAAACACCAAGGAAAACGGTGGTGAAAGTCTTGGGCAAGATACGAAAGTCTTTAAATATAATATATGTTGAAAGATTAATTTAAAATATTTACACGAATATATTTGTCGAATAAATTTAGGAAACATTTTTCGAGAAAATTAATTTTTATTCCTTCCTAACATGGATAAGATTTCGTACATAGAAAATTTGCCATCGAGTGTTATATTTTGTGATATGAATTCAACGCTTTTGTAAAGCAAAAAAAAAACTTTTGTTCCAACGAAGCAGGATTTTACATTCAACAGCATACATCAGGCGTGGTTTTTAGCGATCGATCGGGTCAATAATCACCGATTCGATGATAACAATGTTCATAACCTCCACTCACTCGCAGTATTCATTTCGAATGAATAAATTCGATTTGTTTGCCCTTACGCGACAAATAAGAATTTATTTATTCATCGTTCGTGAATAAATCGATGTAATTTCTTTTCGATAAAAAAAGTACGTACGTATTTATTACATTTTACTTTCTTCGATCCATGTGGATTTGTTTGTTCGAGCTTGCCGGTATCCAATATTGTTATCTCGACGAGTCTGATACACGCTCTGTAATTGGCCAGTTTTTCGTTAATGAATCGTTACACAAAACTCGAAACGAAAATTTTTGCAAAAAATTTTGGTAAAAACGATATTTCCACTTTTCTCGAAGGATATGTATATAACCGTATACATATTTCCATACAAGTTCTTTCAAATTTCTCTACGTTTTGCATTTGAATTTTATTTTTTATCCCATAATACAGAGCGAGCCTTTGTTCCATTCCACGTTAACAATACTCTGAGATAAAATATGTATTATAGCGAATCGTTGTAGTGAAAATTTTGAGAGGAGAAAAGGACTTGAAATATAAAATTTTACGTATTAATAAAAATTTCTCGTTATTATATGTTAAACGTCATCCACATATGTGTGTGTAACCCTTTCTTTACGTTACAAGAATAAAGATACAACTTTCTGATCAATGATAAATCGATCGCAATCCTTAAGTAGCTCTCTATATTTTCTTTAACAAAGAAATTATGCTATGTACATTCCTAAATATAAATATTTCAAAATGGCAGAACGTGAAGTGAAATTCTTTTCAAAAAAAAAAAAAAAGATTTTACGATATTTTGTCAAGAACATAAAAATGCATCAAAAGTATTAGAGTAAAATAGTAGAAAGATAAAAGAAATTCTGCTCTCAATTGTAGGAAGAGAAATTCAAAATATAAACCAATATTAAGTGTACATTTGTCATCTTTTTTATTAATATAATTTCCCATATTTGATAAAAAAGATACATTGCAAAGATAAAAGAAATTCTGCTTTCGATTATAGCAAGAGAAATTCAAAATTAATGTCATATCGTTAAAATATCACTTTTCTTATCGATATAATTTGATATATTGGAATAATATACCTATCTAGTTGTATTTCCATAACTCGTAGACGAAACGTTAAAAGAGGAAGTTATGACCGGAATTTAATCACAAGATTCTATTTGTACCGAATAATTGGATGGAATTACATAGTTCAACTACTTCCCTTTATCGAAAGAATTATTGCAACATCAAAATCGCTATAAAGTGGTCTATACACTCTGAACTATTAGCATCGGACATTACTCGCTGAAACAGATATACGGATTCCCATATCGATGCACAGCATCTGAAATCGATATCCCGCAACTCGCATAATGAGGCGTGCATCACGGCAAACGTACATCCGTTTGATTAAAATTTTATCTGCTTAATTTAACTCGAGTGAAAAATATGATACGATATATTTACTATCTAATTCTTTTTCCGCGTACTAAAATCATCCTTGAAACGATTCTTACGATTCTTATTTACATACGAGTCATTTCTCTCGTTATTAATTACCGATAAGATGAATCGACTTGTTTTAAGAACGAACAAAATTTATATTTGTCTGTACAATAATTTTCTCTCGCCACTGTGCTAAATCTTGAAATATTATAAAATCAACCTCCCCTCGTCGATTCAGAAAATAATCATAATTTTGTTTCCTCCTTTTTTCCTTTTTCTCCACCCTATTCAACGCCCTTACATTCTTCTCTTTGAAGAGAAAGTCTACCACCAGCCGGATACCACGTTTGTTCCTCTCCGTGTCCTCGTCCTCGGCCTCGGCCTCAAACCTCACACTCTCTTCCGCGTAAGTAGCTTGTCTTCGAGCATCCTCGATGCAGGAACGAACGAAGGAAAGTTCACTTTGACACACGAGATTTGTTACCTAGGCTGCTCCTGACGTTTTCGTGGTAAAATATACGCGGGCACGTTCGTACTATGCAAATGCGGCTATCCGCGAAAATAAAAATAGCGCGGAGAGCGGAGCGAGGCATGGAGGGAATAGGGCCTAGGTGTGTATCGAAGGCGAAGGTGTCCCCATCTATGCGACTCGGGCTCTGACGTACACGCGCTTAGAAGCATGCATTGCGCGTTGACCGCTCGAAAGAAGAAGAAAGAAAGAAGAAAAAAAAACTGGACGAGGTCGTCCTTTTGTTCCACGAGGCGTAACTCGTGCAAGCGCAACTTGATTCGCGATCAAAGCCCTGTACCAGATTTTTATTCGTTATTTTGTTCCAGTGCAACGCCGCTGTTGGCGTGAAGGCATTCTTCGATATGATGCACAGTGGGCCGCACAAAGTGATGCTATTCGGCGCAGCTTGCACGCACGTCACTGATCCCATCGCCAAAGCATCGAAGCATTGGCGTCTCACACAGGTGAGTTATGAAATATAACGGGACAATTTGCGGGGAACCAAAGCGGGAATCTATGCATTCTGATCTCGGCTCGAGAGAAAGGCGATTCGTTGATTGTCCCTGACGTCGTGTCGAAATCCTAACCCCGCGGAGATATCTCGTTCGAGATATATAAAATGCCTATGTTATGTATTAAAACGCGAGATATCTTATCGAACTAGCGAATTATTTCTTTTAAATAATTTTATTTTCAAGTAATACGTTTATTAGAGTTAGATTATTTTGCAACTTTCACGAATAAGTTGCGATATTCTTTTTTTTATTTTACATTTTTTAAATCCTGCATCTTGGAATAATGAAACGCAGAGTTTTTTCGTCCTATTGTATATTTCCTTCGTGTATGTTCTGAAAAAAATTATATAAAAAAGAAACGTACAAAAATAGTAATATTCTTTATTTATCATCGTGAACTCGTATTTGCGAGTGAAATATGATACGAGTCCTTTTTTTTTTTTTTTTTTTTAGCTTTTTTGAATAAAATACGTTACGTTCAACGTATGATATTAAGAAAAAAAAATGCGAGATTACAGTTATCTCGTTTAATTATTAACAGAGTATACCATCGAATACGTTAGAAATTATGAATAATATTCATAAAAATATTCATAAAAATATCTCGCACGAAAATTAAACAGTTGCACAATTCAATGTAATCATCGTCTTCTTAGATGAAAAAATATTACATTGCATATTACATTACGCAAGACATATTACATTTTACATGAACGTTTACACGAATTAATCAAAATTATTGAAATGGAACAGGCGTGTCCTTTTTTATTCTCACGATTACAATGAATATAACGAACATAGACACGTCGCTTCCTCGACACGTTTTTCGAAAATATTGAATCGACCTTTGTTGCAGCTTAGCTACGCGGACACACACCCGATGTTTACAAGCGATAGCTTCCCAAATTTCTTTAGGGTGGTGCCTTCTGAGAACGCGTTCAACGCTCCCCGTGTGGCGCTTTTATTGCACTTCAATTGGACTCGCGTCGGAACCATTTATCAAAACGAGCCGCGATACGCTCTGGTGAGTATTTGAAATTTTATCGAAATGTAATGGAATGACGCACGCACACGTCAAATGAACCAACAACTCGACGCTTTGAATTATATCGTGTAATGCTATATAATAAAAAAAAAAAAAAACGAAAGATGTTTATTTTATTTAGGAAAAACGATACAATAAAAAGTTTTTGTTTTTTTAATAATCTTCAATCGAATGTTTTAATTTTTGAAAAATTACAGATTAAATGAAATACAGGTTGTTTCGATAAAATATTTTATAACCAATTTAAAAACTGTTTATAATTCTATGTATGGATATGGATGTTTATTCGTATTATATTGTATTTAGAATGCCCGTGATTATATACGTTTTGTCACAGGTTGGCTTATCTCTGGTTAAACCCCATTATTTTTTTCCAACTTACCAGCTACGCACAGCTACGTGGTATTTTATATGTTAAAATTGAAAAAAATGTTTTTTTTTTTTTTCTTTTAACGAATTAATAATTTCATTCCGCCAATCTTATTCTAAGTGCCTCGTATGCAAAAGTTTATGCAATTTATTCATATTTTATAAACGTAAAGGAAATAGAATTTAAATGAAGATTAATTTTACTCGTTAAATACGAGTATTACTTTGAACATATTTTTATTTATACATTATTTTGCATACCATGCGCGTTCTATGTTACGCAGAATGCTCGTTTAAATTAGTTTCTCTTCAAAATTATGTTTTAAAAAAATTTTTCAAAATTTTTATTTTTGATCGGAATAAAAATTTGAAAATTTACAATCGTCAAGATCATAAAATGTCGATGTTACGAGTTTTTTTTAAATATTTTTCCTCCTCCTTTATTCCCACCGTATTAATAAACCATTGAATTTATTTCAACTAGTCGCTATCATAACAAATTGCTAAAGATAAATTGTAATTTAAGAAAGAAGCACGGCATTGTACAAAATTTCTTTTTTTTTTCCTTTTCTTGAAACGAATAAGAACATCTCTCCTGTTTATATTTTTAAACGAATAAATCGATTACATATATTTAATCTTACCGATAATTTTCACAATTTTTACAATTGACGTGTGCAGGCACACAATCGATTGGTCGCCGATCTCGACAGCAATAGCATGGAAGTGGTGGAGACGCAAAGCTTCGCCACCGAGGTGACCACAGCGCTGGAAAAATTGAAGGAGAAGGACGTTAGAATAATTTTGGGCAACTTCAACGAAACATGGGCCAGGCGAATATTCTGCGAGGCGCACAAGTACAAAACCTTGAATTTTTGATTAAAAATTCTTTCGTTCTTCCCCACCAGGATTTCACTTCCTTCCGTTTATTACGTTTCCAGATTCGATATGTTCGGGAGAAAATATCAATGGGTGATCATGGGTACTTACACGGAGGAATGGTGGCTCCATCCTGACGAGGAATGCAATTCCTCCGATTTGGTGGAGGCATTGCACGGCGCTATATTGACAGACTTGTTGCCAATCACAACGGAGAAGAGGAAGACTATAGCTGGAATAGTGAGTTGGAACGGCTTCTTCGAAATTTAGTCGTGTCTCTATCTCCCCTCCCTCCATCATACATCTCTCGTCGCTTTTCAGACAACCGAACAATACCGGGTCGAGTATGACTCGAGACGAGGCAAAGAGTATTCGAGATTTCACGGATATTCGTACGACGGTATATGGGCAGTAGCTTTAGCTATACAACGGGTCGCAAGCAGGATAACACACTACCGTCGCAATCAGACCATGTCAGATTTCAGATACAGGGACGAGCTTTGGGAGAAGCTTTTTCTGGAAGCTCTGAGAAACACCAGCTTCGAGGGCGTCACGGTAGGTATTTTCTGGACAGCAAAGGAAAGTTACAGAATAGGATCTCTTGTAATTTAATATAATTACAATTAACATGTATATTTATGTTCCACCAAGTATTTCGATAATGCTTTTGAAAATTCTTTTTCTATTTCAAATATCATTCTCGAGCTTAATTTTATCGTAAATTCCATCAAATGTAAATATTTCTATTATTTGTAATCTGTATTAGATACGTGTGTGTACAGTTTGTGAGATAAGAGTTTGTCGGAAGTTTAAAGTCGGTAAGATAGAGTATTAAGTACGTTGTTTATTCTAACACTTCTCCTAGATAGCAATAATAAACAAGATATTGTCAAAATTACGCAATAAACGAATGATATTGTATTTATAATATAGCTCTATGTATATCATATCTGTTACAAATAAAACTTGTATTTTCGATACAAATGTATTTTTTTCGTAATAGCCTGTTAAGAGTATGAAGAAATTCCATCGAGATACATAACATAACATAATCGTCGAGAAGTAAAAATTAATCGCTTAATATAAGAAATACGCGTGAATCGAAGCGAATGATACAAATGTGACATACAATTTTCCAGGGGCCGGTGCGTTTCTACGATAACGAAAGGAAAGCGTATATTCTTTTGAAACAGTTTCAAGGTGAGTATTGGGACGCGACGATCTAATTCTCTCGAGGCTTGTGTACCTTTTCTTCTTCCATTGCAGGCGACAGAGAGGTAAAAGTTGGCGAGTACGACGGCGTGACAGATATTTTAGATTTGAACAAGGGCGAGCCTTTGATCTGGAAGGGGAAATCACCGCCCAAAGATCGAACTCTTCACATCATCGAGCATTCGACCGTAAATATTACGATCTACGCTGTGCTCACTTCCGCGGCGAGCGTGGGCATCACCATGGCGGCTATTTTTCTCGTCATCAATATCAAATACCGAAATCAAAGGTGATTAATCGCAGGGATGATCCTCTCGTTTCTCTCCTTTTTTCTTCTTCGTCAATTTCATCGCGGGCTCGTTCTACTCGATGCGATTCGTCGGATTTTAACGGGACGCGGGAACAAATCGTGTCAAAACGAGACGAAGAGAGCGTAATATTAATAGATGCACGGTTAAAAAAGAAAGAGTGCGTTCGTTTGGACGAGACTTTAGAGGCTTTAGATAAGCTTTTTTTGCAACCCGTGCAAATCGGGATATTCTATTTCCCTTCTCATGGCCGACGTTCGATCATCTTCGACGTTTCAGATACATAAAAATGTCATCGCCGCATTTAAACAACCTCATTATCGTCGGATGCATGCTGACCTACAGCAGTGTAATTTTCCTTGGGTTAGATTCGCAGCTGTCCAGTGAAACGGCATTTCCCTACATTTGCACCGCCAGAGCATGGCTATTGATGGCTGGTTTCTCCTTGGCGTTTGGTTCCATGTTCTCGAAAACATGGCGAGTACACTCGATATTTACCGACGTTAAATTGAACAAGAAGGTAAGCCTGATCGTTTTGCCTGCCCGTCGTTTTTACGTTGGTACGCCGTCGCTAACCGTTGCGGCATCCGTTTCGTTTGTTTAGGTGATAAAAGATTACCAATTGTTCATGGTGGTCGGTGTATTATTGTTTATTGATCTGGGTATTATGACGACCTGGCAGGTTGCGGATCCATTTTACCGAGAAACGAAACAAATGGAACCTTATGTAAGCGCACCGATATCGATCAAGCACGAGTAATTACGCGATATAGTATAAAAAAAAAAAAAAGAAAAAATGCGAAACGCGCGAATCAAGTCGTGTCAATTCTCTTCTTTCGTTTCAGCCTCATCCTTCCAGCGAAGATATTATCATAATACCGGAAAACGAGTACTGTCAAAGTAATCGAATGACCATTTATTTAGGATGTATATACGCTTATAAAGGTCTTTTAATGGTAGGTAATGTCGATCGATTCGAGAGACAACGACGACACCGATAACTTTTTCAAGCGACGAGAATAAAAGGTCGTAGCGATCTAAACGATTTTTCAAGCCGTGATTTTCTTCATCTTCCAGATATTCGGCGCCTTTTTGGCATGGGAAACAAGGCATGTTAGTATTCCGGCGTTAAACGATAGCAAATACGTCGGAATGAGCGTATACAACGTTGTGATCATGTGTGTCACTGGAGCGGCTATAAGCTTCGTGTTGGCTGACAAACAAGATGCCATGTTTATTATGTTGGCGATATTTATTATATTCTGCAGCACCGCCACCTTGTGCTTGGTTTTTGTACCAAAGGTATCCTTCTAAAATGAAAATTCCAGAATGCCCCGCTTTCTGCCGTTTTGTTGTCGTTTTATCGCCGCTTTGGCTTCCGTCCGCGAAAATAAAATTAACGAATCGTTTTCCCATGTTAGCTAATAGAATTGCGAAGAAATCCCCAAGGTACGATAGACAAACGAATTAGAGCAACGCTTAGGCCAGTGTCGAAAACGCGAAGGGACTCGAGCGTTAGCGAATTGGAGGAACGTCTGAAGGAAGCGACGTTAGCGAATCAAAAATTTCGTAAACAATTGTTGGAAAAAGATTCAGAACTTCAGGTAAATGATTGAGAAACGTGTATGACGAACGAATCATATCGAACAAACGAAACAATTGCAGATGTTTCTACGGAGGCTTGATGATCAAACCACATCGAATACACAGGAAGCAATGGATAGGTTAACAGTTCCGAGGCAGGAAGCAACAATGGTGAAAAAAGAAGGTAAGCACAGAATAATCTCGTTTATAAGATTGTAATGCTAGTATTTAATATTGTTCTCTTCATTTACACATTCTATTATACTTGAATCTCGTATAGTATTTATTATATAATACTTTAAGTCACAATATTCTGATAAACAAAAATGTGACTTTTGTATAAATATTATAAGCTATACTATCTAAATATTTTCTTTGTTTTTTATAATATTTCTAAAAAAAATTGATGGCACAATTTTAGTTCAAAAGAGAAATAATTTGGAAAAAGAATTCTTTTATCAAATCATTTTTTCTTGATTTTTTTAAGGTTATTGATATTTTTTTATATGAAAAACGTGTATTTTTTTTTGTTTACTATCTTGGATAAAAAAAATATATTGTGTCTGAATCATGACTTAGCCATTAAATAATTTTCACGAACAACGTAAATAAAATAATATTTAGATTTACTATGTTATTAAGAGTTCAAAGTCCATCGTTTTAGCGATACATTTTTCGGTATGAATAATTACACATTGTGTAATTTTTTCAATTACTTCAAGTTAAGAAATTATACAAGCATTAATTATGCGATTTATCATGTTTTCTGAAATAATAAATTTTTGTTGGTATACTTCTTTCAATTTTCTTTAAAGAAAAAATCAAATAGACTCAAATTTAATTATCATATAGGTAATTAATTATATAATTATTATTATTATAAATAAATAATATTGTAATATAAAAATTTTTTATTTATATATTTTTGCAAATATAAATTTTATATTAGGATCATATAGAAGGGACAACAGAATTAATTTTATTTTAAAATTTAACAAAAAAATCCTCAATCTCTTAATTCTCTTCATTTCTATCCATATTTTCAATATTCTAAGTTATCTTATCAGTAAATATTAAAAGAAGATTTTACATACATATCAAAGCTTGTATTTCTAATAAAAAAAAATATTTGTTTCTTTATGCTGTTATAATCATTAAAATTATCAATTATCAAGAATCAATCAATAAATTTTTAATTAAACAATTCTCACATAGTCGAAAAATAACCAAATTTTCATTTGAGTCAATTTTGCTCTCTTAGAGTGAATTTGAATAGCAAACAAAAAATTGTTGCAAATTATGCATATTCTCAACGTATTATTCTATCCTCATACTTTTATCTCATCTCAGGTTTGTCCCTTGCGACAGAGACAACGGACATTTCTATATCAATGTGCAGTCTGAATTCAACCACCATCTCTCAACCAGAAGGCGTCGATTATGCGAGCACAATCGCGACCGAACAACCGATCAGCAAGTACGTATAGCGTATACAATATTAAGATTTATATTCGATTAAAACGATCGAAATGATGCATTTCTAGGAAAAAGACATCGTTCTCGAAGTTACCGGCGATCGCAATCGACAGCGAACGAACACCTCTGGTCCCACAATCCCAAGAAACCACGAAAGGAACCGCGGATTTTTCGTCCTCCCCTCTACCTTCGGTTTTGAAGCATACAACAGACGATTCCGGCCATAGAAGAAGTCGTGCCTCCATACTTGGAAAAGAGAGTGAACCTCTTCTTGCGGAGAGAAGTCCGGACTCGCGATCGGATACCGGTAAAACGAACGTCGAATTCGTACCGGAGATCGTCGAGGAGGGTGACGCCATTATCCTCGAAGAGACCGAAATTCCCAGGCATGGAAAGTTGATCAGAAGCAAAGAGGATCGTAGATCCAGGCTGCCGACACCTCCGCCGACAAAGAACGTCTCGTTCGGTGAACTTCACGAGCAGAACTACCTCGAGCAAGCGATTCTACCACCTCCCTCGCAATTCGTGCCCAAGCATCGACATTCCGGTGAAATAATATACACTATAACTCTCCTCTATCTATAATTAATTATTCTACAAATTCTTCCGTTATATTTATTGCTTTTATGGTTTCACTCTAGTTTCGGCGACAAATGCATCCGCTCATCAATCATTAAAGAGAAGATCGTCGGTGAAGAGCAACGGAATGGCTCATTCCCATCACGAGTTGTTTCAAACTCGGAGAACCAGCGTACCAGTCAATTGCATCAGTTATATTTCGACTGAGAACGTCTCCAAGTCAGAGGCCGCCGAGTTCTCGCTCAACTCCGGTTTTGATAAGTCTTATATAATTGGTGAATGCGGTCATCGACGAGCATTATTCTCAGGTACTGGATATCGTTGCGAGAAACACGGAGGACGAGGACATCGCGCTATATTGAATGGTTCGGCGGAAACGCCGCCTCCTCCACGGAGACATAAAAAACACTACGATTCTCAAAATGCAAGTTCTCCGAGTGTGCCTGCGATGGTTAATGCAAGTTACTCTGATACCGGTAAGCCGGTAATTTCCTCTTTCTTTTAGGGAAGATCGAGGTTTTTCAGTTTTGATTTTTAGTGGAAATTACGTGGATAAAATGTGATTATAAGTTTTATCCTGTCTAGTAAAATACAGGATAGAGACAGGTTACCTGAATATTTTGGTTTGTTTATTGATGTTAAAAAAATGTATATTAGATCATATTTTTAATGGATAGTCGCCTAGAGATCATAAGAAAGTCAATTTTGTTTTTTTAAATATAATGATTACATTAAAGTTCTTTTATATTATTTAGTAAAACATATTATAATTCAAGCTCACTTAATATAATATTATTTTTCATTATAATGTTATGATTCAAAATCACTGATTAATTGATTAATATAAAAAGTATTAAAAAAATTGTTAAAATAGTTTCAGTTGTTATATTGAGTTATCTTTAATTATTTATTATATTTAGAATATTATATTATTTAATAGACGATTTTATGATTTTAAAACAAGTCAATATATATTTTATGAGAATGATAAAATTGTGTTTATTAATAATATTATCAATGAAAATAATATCATCGAATATAAATAAATAATCGATATATAAATATCGTTATATACTTCACTGTTTATTTATCTTTGATATAAATTGAGTATAATAAATCATTACATAAATAAAATATTCAAGGTATAAAGTTTAAATTATTAAAACATATAGAAATTTATAAATCAATCAATTCAAAACGCACATTTTATTTTCAATTCTTTCAATTAAATTACTTATAAAAAATATATATTATTGCAATAGATAATTTAATAAATTGACATAGCTAATTTTTCGATAAATTAATAACTTTTAGTATCAAAAAGAAATAACTAGACACAGTAGAAGTCATTTCTTTGTACTGTACTACATGTTTCCATGCAATTTTCTCGGTCTTCCCTGTTATGTTACTCAATTTAGTCACATATACTGACATATTTCTATTATGTTCACAGAGAAATACGAGGAATCCATGTCGACGATTATTCAACGATCAGTGTCCGAAAGATCGCGAGAAAAGTGTCCTCGGCTTCGAAGTGAGGGACACGCGATGATCGAATGCCCTCATCGTGCCACACGTCGGATACGAGAGTGTAGACATACCGAGTCTAAACTCCGACAACAGGCTCGTTTGGAATACGTGCAAAGCACACCGAATGTTGCCACAATACACAATAATAAATTCGCAAGCGCGAATCCACGTGGAGGTGGTAGCACTGGGCCAGGTGGCGGTAGTGTGGCAGGAAGTGCGAATGGCCCGGGAACAGCCAGCTCAGTGACCGCCAGTAGTTCAGACGTTGTTGGTGGTTCCGCGGCAAATGTTTCTAAAATGTATAGCGCCGTATCAGACGGCGAATTACTCGATCTAGCGATATTGCCGATCTTTCAAAAGCTGCTCACCGAGAGGCACAAAAGTTCCTCGAGGGCCGGCTACGGCGCCAGCGTAGCCAGCTGTCCGAATATATCTATCAAATGTGACATCGTTGAATACCTTTAACGATCTTCCATCTATTAACTTCAATTTTCATTCCGGCGATCTCGTTCTGTTTTCTCTCTTCTTTGAACACTCCTCTCCCTTATTTTTCCCCTTACATTTCTCATCTCCTCTCTTTCTCTCTCTTTCTCTCTCTTTCTCCCTCCTGACGGCCTTCAGACGCGACATCTATCGTAAAACGTGTTCGCCAATGTATCGGCCGAGACAATGATATTTTATGAGAGCAATCACCGTTCCTTTCTCGAGCCTGCCTATCTTTGCGATACTCTCGCGAAAAAACATTGGAAGAAGCAGCAACGCTGCTCTTTCGATATGTGTAAATGTATGTACATTTCCATGTCCATAAGTCACCGAATACTTACAATTAGTACGATTTAGGATAGGAATGAAATGAACGTTGTAATTGCAGAATGAAGTTGACATTTATTAATCGTTTATTATAAGAGAAAAGTAAAATTATAATTATTACATTTGAAAGATGTTATAAATCTATATTTTAATAAACGTTATGTTTAGATTAGCAAGTGTCCGCTGGACTTATGGACGAGAAGGAGACGTTATCAACAAGATTAAACGAAAGAATACCGGCCTTTGTTCGACGCTCGAGAATCTTTTATCTCCTCGGTTAATTAATTTGACAAAAATAGCCGCTCGCGGCATATTGTGAAAACGTTCTTCAGCAGAATTCTACAGCGTCTGCACTTCAACACACATTTCTCTTTCCATCTTTGTGATTTTTCGTTCCCCCATCTCGATTCTCGTCTCGATGATGAAAGGCCATATAAACATTAACAAACATACGACGCTTTCGCGTCCATGAGAAAATGATTGACAAAGTCACGGTGACTCATCATTCTGAAACGCGGAATCTCGGTTTTTATAATAAATTAATCGAAAAACAAGTTTGTTATACATGTTTGTCATAACAAAAAAAAAAAAAAATATCGTTGCATCGATCGGATAAAAAAAGAAGATAGCCAGTATTGAAACGAACGTAGGAAAGAATGTTAGCGTATGCGTCTAATCTAATTCTAATCATTGTAAGCGTGCGTAATCGTTTTAAATAATTTTATAGCGTGCGAAATTCGTACAAATTCGCTGTTTAGCAATTCAAAAGATAGATATACGAGTCAAAAGATTCGAACATTTTATAGAATTTTCTCTCGCATTCGAGGGGGACAACTTTTTTTTACGTTATATCCGAGTCTCTTCTTAAGAAGGAAACGAAGAAAAAAGGATTTAAAAAAAAGAACAAAAAAAAAAAAAATAACAAAAAAGGAATAAAAGAAAATAAAATGAAAAAAACGTTGATACATGTTCATTTCTATCGCAAGTAACGTGTTTACATCATACTGAATCATATTTAACAAACTTCTCTAATACTGTACCGAAATTAATTCTAAACTGATTGTTATCGATTATTCCAAAGCAGCTCAAGACACATTAACGAAAACGATTAAGTAAGAAGCATACGGTAAGTGTTCTCACGATAAGCGGCTTTAAAATAATTTCCTTCCTTATGTATTCGCTTTTTCACGATGAACAGTCGGCGTCTTTTTATTATTTATAACGGAATATATCTCGATGAGAAACTGAACAGGCGAGTTTTAGATGCGATTCGCATGCCTAGTAAAAGAGAATCGATGAAATATAATATTTTCTTTTCGTTTCGCATGTTTTTTTTTCTCTCACTTTTCCTCCCGCCCGCCCCTTTCCGCTCGCTCTAACTTTTCTTGTCTCTCTTTCTATTTCTGTTTCTTTATCTTCCCTTCTCGTTGCATTATTTTGTTTCTTTATTTGAAAATCTCGAACAGCCTACAATAAACAAAAAAAAAAGTCAAAAAGCGTCCGGATATTTGAAAAAGCGTATTCTCTGAGAGCCTAATGCTCGTCACAAGATTTTCATTGTGTGGTTACGCGAGTCTTGTATATAACTATCAAAATAAATGTCATGTTTACAGGTAAAAATAGCCATTTGTATTATGTAATACGAATTATACCCGCTTCATACGTTCTAAAAACTAATTTACAAACACTCGTACACCTCTTTCTTTTTTTTTTTAAATACGAGAAAATATATATCATTCTTGTTATATATGATGTAAATATACGCGTCAACAATTTTCAATCGTTTATTAAATTTGTTTCAATCACACAAACATCGAAACTATAACGTATAAATATTTCGATAACTTAAAATAATAAGTGCGAGTCGATAATAACAAGTCAATTATATTAAATTTTATCAATAAAGTTGATTCACTTGTTCTACCATTTGACATTTGACATTCAAGTTACATTCCTTAAAAAATCATTTTTTTTTTCATTCTAATTATTCCATTAACAAAATTATAAAATTATCATTTTATCTTAAATAAAGATATAATAATTGCAGTATGTTTATATTATGTTTCATATTTCATAATATTAAAAATTTTTTAAAAATATATATAAATACATACGCTGCTTTTTTATTTAAAGTGCAAAAAATTATATTATGTACATTAAAAATAATAATCTGTCAAACAGAATGCGAGATATAGACGAATTAATTTCCATTAGAACATAAATCATTCGATAAAATATAAGTAAGAAGCATGAATTCAACGAATAATATCAAAGTTACCTTGCACTATTCACAATATAGTAACTAATAAAAGTTGTTAATAGAAAATAAATTCAATTTAAATAAACCAATTATTTGATACTTGAATTATTCAATTAACGACATGATTCAATTGCACTCGATTGCTTTCATCATGCTAAGATTTGTATATATATATATATACTCTCAAATGCAAAATGATAGCGTATACTATAGTTTTCAGTGTTTCTCGAGATTAACGCAATTTATTTTGTATAAATATCAATATAAAATATTCTTTGTTTAATAAATAGTATAGAAGAAGATCAACGATGATTAATATTTTCTTTTATAAATTTGATTTGTTTATAAGGAAAATCGGTATAATAGAATGGTGTATATATGAAGAAACAGATTAACGAATTTTTGAGAATTGATAATGATTTTTTACGTATTTTTTACGTACTGAATCTGAATAAAATTGCATTTGATTATCACATTCGATTTAGGAATAATGGATAAAAAAAATATTGATTTTTATCCATCTGAATTCAAATTCAGACAAACATTATGAAAAATCGATTTTTATTTTCGAACCAAAAAACCTCATTGACCTTTTTTTACATGTTATATATTACTCATTTTTTCATATAATTATATCAAATTCTGTAGAAAAAAATATTAACTGCGATTGATCTTTTTCTACATTATTAAATAAGGCATATTTTAAATTAATTATAAAATTTAAATAATAAATATTATTATGTTAGTCTCGAGAATTGAAAATAGTAATTCTATCATTTTGTTTGGGAATGTACATACATCCATGGTATATATACATATATATATATATATATAATTGTGGTCGAAATTATGATTTAATATTTAATATTTACTTAGATTATTCAGCTACATCATATGTATTCCTTTTACATATTTTCAGTCGCAATTTTTATATGAAAATCTATTCAACAAATTGAATTATCAGTTTCAAAAAAACATATGAGGCGATTAAAAGGTGAGAAAAAGAGATATCTTTGAGCAAAATTTATAAATGACTTATAATCAATATAAAAATTTTATTATAAAAGTTATATTTCTATTTTTATTGCCACGCTTTTTGCAACTTAACAAGATTATTTGTAGTGAATATGAATATGATATGAATATAGCAATAAATATGAATACAAATAAAAATATAAAAATTAAGGAATAAATGCTCAATGGATTTCATGAAATAATACAAATTGATTAATGTCTCATAAATATATGTCGTTGCAATCTATAAATCGTGATATTGCAGTAAGAATGATATTTTATGATACACATATCCGAATGTAAAAGCAATATTCTGGATCGTATAAATCGATTGCAATCAAGCATAGAATTATTTATCTCTATAATCTTTGCAGAAATAATTAATAATAACTAATCTAGGAAAAAAGATAAGATTTTATTCTTTTTAAAATACCATCATTGCATTAACAATTAAGAAATGAAACGAAAAAATGAACATATTCAAATATAATAAAAATAGAGTATATAAAAATGTAATTTATTATAATTCAAACGATTTCGATGATTGTTTTAATTTGTCTAATTTAACCTCGAAAAGTCATCGGCGATACATATTATTATTATAATGCAACAAAAAAAAGAGCTGTTTCAAGTCATTTCTGGGATTATCAATTAAACTTCATCGATCGATTTCTAGAATACTTTGTACATATGTAGATACTTATACGTGCATATGTATGTATGTATTATACACTTACAATTGTTACATGAACTTCAGTCATGTCATAGAAGTCAAATTGATCAATTTCATCAAGATGAGTTATTCTAAAATTATTCTAAAATTTTCTAAAATTAAAATCAAAAGATTTTCAAAAAATAATAATATATAAATATATTAACTATTATTGCATACTTTGATTATATACATTATTTGTTAAAAAATATTAACGTTATTGATTCATCAAAAATATTTATTAATAATTTATACGAAACATTTGCATTTATATCAAACGTGTAAAAAT